TTTCTAAGTCAACTCATTGAATCACATAATGTGCGAGTTTTGGTCCGTCCGTTAATGAGCGTGGCGCTTTGTGACCAGGTACGAAAATAATTAATGAATAGAAGCTAAGACAGTCTCCATTTTCAGGGAATGGGTAGCGTTAGGGAGTGGTGCCTGTAAAAATTTGTCACCCCATGGTAAGGGAATTAAAGAATATTAAGCAGCAACAAGACGGCAATGTACATTGCAACTTCCCGATGAGTTAGACTTGTTACACCTCATAAAACTGGGCCTGACCCGGCTAGTGACCTGAGCGGACCGATTGGAACTGAGCAGGGAAGTTTTCCTTCTCCAGTCAAGACTGTCAGAGAGTGAGTGAGAGAGAGAGAGAGAGAGAGAGAGAGAGAGAGAGAGAGAGAGAGAGAGAGAGAGAGAGAGAGAAAGTTGACAGTGTCACTGTTCAGGGGGAGGGGTCAGTTTGTTCTAGGACCCCGTACTGATGACTGTTTGCCTCTATTCAGTATTAGGAATTCAATGATAAACAGGGAGGGTTCCTATCAATAAGCAAGTCTGCAGAGTCGCAGTTATCAGGGATAGCTCGTGTAGGTCTCCAGTAGTGAAGTGGGTGCATGTAACCAATTGCAGGTCTCCCAGGTCTCCGGGCCCAGTGAACATCCATGTAAATACAGGAGCGGCAGTTTCTTTGATTGCCCACTTTATAGTGAATCGCAACAATTGCTTCCTTATCGTTTATATGCGGCAATCATGTTGGCTTCCATTGACGTCAAGTCCAGCAGATGTAGGTTCAACTATCCTTACGGTCTGGAGACCCGCTAAACCGAATATTCTTGACTCTGCTGGTATTGTTAACGGGAAAAGCTGTTAAACTGTTACAGGAGTCTCGTGATGGGAAATATTTCAGCTTTGGGGAACGTTTTAGAAATATAAAATTGTCATAGCCATGATCTATGTAAGGGCTATAGGTAACCTGTCTCCAAGGATGTTAGAGAACGAAGCAAGTTATATCAGGAAATCTGGAAAGGAGTCGCAATTCTATGGAAGCTGTTACACTGAGTAAGATATGAAATGAATAAGTTGAGACCTGATAAGATGGTACATAGAATACACCAAAATGTATGGCGTCAGCCCCCCTCTCTCCCACATACCGTTCCCGACTAAAAGAATCTCCAAGTAGTTCCCAGGAAGGAGACTGTTCTGTAGAGTCAGCCCCACACCAGACCACCAGACCACCACGTGACCAGATGAAGAAGATAGAAAACCAGGCTTTCCTTGCCCTGGAGAACATATATTGCCGCGTCGCTACGGGACCACTAGACCATGTCGTTGTAGCACAGACTAAAACTACCGATTATATCGGGATTCCTATTGACCCTGTATAGGAGAACCTAGACTGGGAGTTGGGAGCGTTATACTCAGGAGGTATGATAAGTTTTTAGCACACAGCGGAGTCTGCAGGTAGACTATCCAGAGACCCTGAGAGGTTTCCTCTCAGTTCTTAATAACAAACCTCAGATCCTCCTCCATGTCACAGTTTCAAGATCAGCTGTATGATATCAATATATGTATAATGTTGGGTAACACGGCTGCTAAATATTATTCAGGACTTAATTCCGCGCCAGTTTAGCTGATTACCACGATAATAATAAATAAAACAGTGGCAGGTCAATTGGGAGTTTGAAGCCTACCCAACTGATCGTTCTAATCAGACGCAAACCATTTGTTCTACTTACTGAGAATATAGTTGCGAGTAAATTGCACTGTATCATACACCACAAATACTAAATACTCTCCCATTTTACAGGCATATCCAACTGTTTACAGGCAGGTCGTATTATTGCAACTTTTAAATAGCTCGATCTCGAGTCGTGGATCTGCTCTGAAAAAGCTTGCGGTGGCCGAGTAGTAAAACATGGTCACATCTTACCTGTGTTGTGTTGATGTGTGGATGAGACGGTGAGTTAACCTATAGAGATCGCTAATACCTTGACAATTGGGTGATTGTAAGCAGCGGGCGCAGTGCGATGAGCGGTATAATTGGTAAACAATAGTTATCGATGCGGCACCGGATCGCCTAATACTTTACTCATTACATTCATTACAATACCCATATTTTGGCTTGCTTAGTCTGGGCAATTAATGCAGGACGACCGGACCACAAATTGGCTATTAGTGACCCGACCCGTCTTGTAGGAACTAGTCGCGGCCGTCAAAACCCATGTTTCTCCCGAGCACTGTAACATCCCTACCCATGACTTACGGCCACTCATTTGGTTCGCAGTACACCGAGATTTGCTTTAAATATCAGGAGGTAATTATAATGGGATATATCGAGCAGCGAGGAGTGCTCAAGCACAGCCTCCAAGGCTGCTATGTAGGATGTTTCATCAATTCACTCCACCAGCTAATTGGCAGATGTTTTGTGCTGCCCTGTGCTCGCACAACTGAATACCTTCCTCAGATCTGGTGATAATGCAACACCAGTCTCCACAAGACTCCACTGTCGCCAACACTAATCATACCCACAAAAGGTGTCTTATAATAGAATATGTCGACTTGGAGGGAGCAAGTCAATAAAGAGGATACAGGTAGACGGAGACAGAAAGCTGAGCTCCAAACTCTTATAACTGAAACTTCACCTCCCCGGCCTCGGATCATTACTTCATTACTTCATTATTATTCAGCACTCACTCTCCCCCCTCTCTAATATATACAGAAAGTTAAGTTCCCAACTTTGTTTATCCTCACTTCACCAGTGTATTCATTACTATTCAACATCACGAGATCCTGTCTAACAATGGAGAACGGAGAATACGGTATAGTTTTAACATGAGCTGTACAATGGACAGTTTAGGGACTAGTGATCAAGAAGAAGCTGGTGGAACGGTGCCCTCTTCTCCGACCCGGGGCAGCCCTCAGGACTCCTATCACAATACAACTGTCGGGATAGCGAACACTGCCAGTACTAATAGTTGCTGCTCAATATTGGGGTGTGCGCTGTGAGTACACGTGCGAGTAGAAATCCGTGTAAAGTTTGTGTAGTCTCTCTGGGGGTTTGATCCTGTAAATTATTTATTATATTATATTATATTATATCTTATCAGTGGACATTTGAGACTTCTTGGCGTGCGAATAAGCTCGGTCAACGGCAATACATTATGTACACCCTTTAGCTATATAATATGTTACCCTAGCTATAAGTCCAGTCAAAATAAAAGTTATAAATTTATGTTTAAATCTTACTGTTACTGCGAAACGTTATTGCTATCAATTGTTCAACTACGGCTTTGGATATATACCAACAAATATTTCAGATCAATAAACCTAGATTCAACTATAATGTTCACCAACAAAACACTTGCCAGCACCCCCTTACACTCTCGGCTACTCACACACACACCCCACCCCAAACTTCGTTACAATCACTTCTAATAGTTAGCAACAACTCTAGATATATCGTCTCTCAGATAGAAGCTTTGTCTCACCAATGCCGAGATAAAAGGTTGCATCACAATTATACAAACACAATATTAAGCTCATTGAGTAGGCGATGTAAGCTGCCATTATTCCGTGGTTAATGTGGCATAGAATAGTTAACGTCAAACAATATGGAGTTAAACTTGGCTTGCGTAGAAAAATAGAAAGCCTGTATTAGTTTTCCCATATTATTATGAATACAATATTATATTATTGTATTTTATCACTTAATTCACGTACAGGTCAATGCTATGTAATCCGAACCAGTTAAGGAAATGTCGCTTGGAAGTAACAAGCCCTCAACGATTATTCAAATCGCATTACTCATTACACAGATAAGATCTTGTACATTCATTAATGAAAAGTGGTAATAATATGTGTATTAGTGATTAGGGATACATACTGTAGACTTTTAGAGATAATGATACATATTAAAGGCTAGCGGTAGAAGGCCAAGTAATCCAGTGATTTAGTTTTCTGGAACCTTTGAATGGTAGAGCACAGCAAGGCCGACCGAGACAAAGTTACTTGTCTATGTTACTGGAGGAAGTTGGGACAAACTCTAAAGAGGAACTGCGAACCCTGATGCGGGACAGGGATATCTGGAGGGGGTTATCTGGCGTAGATCGGATTTAGTTCAGACCCAGAAGTGGCTAGCAGTATCGATGGCCCAGTTATCCAATTGAAGTATCCTACTCAAAAGGTCACTCTATGTCTCTATGGACGGTCTTTACAATAGTCAATAATTCTTTAATGATAGTCTAATTTGATATTGCTTTTCTATTCAAATCGACCAGAGGTACATTATAATGTTAGCAAACCAGTATATTATTAATAGACTCCGTATAATACCGAGCAAGTAGTTAGTTATCTAGATCTCTCCTTCCCTCCAAATTATTGAGCAGTGCCCTATAAATGGAAATACTTGACCTATTTAGCATGTCCAAGTAATTGTCAATTTACTTGATATATACCACAAAGAAACAATGGCTAGTGAGGGCCGACTACTGACCTAAGATAAATCTGAAACATAATAATCTAATCACTAATGTATATCTCCTTGGAAGGTCGCGGACGCGCAGGGCGGACTGCATCTGGCTGGACAGAAGGGATTTAAGTGAACTAATAACTATCCTAAGGCTCGTTAAGTGAACTAATAAGTTAAAGATTACGGAAATTTAATTTACGTTTAGTTTAATAATTGGGAAGGTATCCAAGTGCCTTGTGTTGTAGTGGATTGTAGACAGTCCTGCGTGGATTAATCCAGTGATGATCTTTGTGATTGGCATTTGTAAGTAGATACATCAGATGAAGAAGCTACATCTTTTGATTCTATCAACAAAATGCCTGATCAATGCCAAAGGGTTTTTCGTTCATGAGTCATGCCCTAATGAAGACACCAGGGACCAAGCAGTCTCGCAAGATATTTTAAGATGTGATCTAGATACGATCACACCGTTCTGAGAGGTGTAAGTACCCTCACTTGATACCGTGGATTAAGTTAACAAAACATAACAATAACGTACCTGTCGAGTGATGAGCACCAGACACATCTCGCATTGTAACCGACACAGGACTTGCACGACTTCTGACTACCGCACGCTGAAAAAATGTCACGTGTTACACAAGCGTTACACTTTCATTGGGACACTTGTAACAACAGTGTCACACTCTTTATTTGATCATTGTTACAACTTTAACTCCAGTGCATTGTATATATTTGTCAATATAGCAACACTGTATCAGCAGACTGCTAATAACGACCTTCTTTTGTTAATAAGGGTCACAAACAAAAGCAATTACTATATCAGTCTAGACTACCGTGATCTTTGATCGTATCTAAGTGATTATACACGGGATGTGAGCACATTGAGAGTTGGAGGGGCACCCGGTACACAGCCCTGAACTAGATTCCTGCAAATTAACACTGCTCATCTGCACACCAGTGCTCTGGTTGTGAGGCTTATTTTCCATTTAATAATGCACCACCTCGTATTTAGACATGATTTAACAGTTGGTTAAATACGTAGCCCCATCACTGAATTATCTAAATTTGTATGAATATATTATTTCAAGCTAGACTATTAAGGACCTCTGAATCACGTAACATTGCCACATGAAAATAATGCCTTGTTCTACACTGGTCAACACGATATAATGTTCCTGAGGCACAAAGTTTTTATTCTCTATATGACGTACAGCTAAATCTCATTAGCGAACACACAAGTTGGTCAACAAAAGATAGACACGCTTTGTGACAGGACGTATCAATGTTTAGTCTAGCATATGCAGGACTCAAAAGTTTGTTGGCTGGAAAAGAGCTTGTTACCAGTAATGTTATAATTTGTTTTAAGGCACATCAGCTCTGCTGAGAGATTAAGGCGGCCCTTGTATTTGACTCCTGGCCAAGTCAGCGGACCTTCCTCGGTAAACGACCCAAATCATGTCCAAAACGGCACCGAAAATCGCACCAAAACCCTTTGCGTTATCGCCCTAGACAGATGCCAGCTAGAACCTCTCCCAAAAACCAGACAAAAAGCCAAACCGACCCCCCGGGAACAACTGAAAGTCAAAAAGGATACAAACTCCAGGGCTTCGGGACAATTTGTACAATTTGAGCCTGTTTGAACCAAGGAGTGAAATGTGACGGTGCATTAAAATCACTTTTTTGGGGTAACGTCACCGCAGGACAAATCTTACTAAGAGTAAAGGTGACGGTTACTTACTGGGGATAGGAGTGAAGGTGACGGTGGTGTCAGGGCGAATCAGGGTATATTTAGGATGTATCTCGTTATAGGTTATGAGCTGATCGGTGTATATCTCCCCGCGATACGCGTCAGCTATCCCCACTATCGCTACGTGTTCAGTTGAGTTGATATCTGCGATTGGGATCGGCACCTGTGGAGAGTTAGGTGTTTAAAATACGGACGTTTTTAAAGATTTCAACAGATTTAAACCACCCACTAGTAGGTTAGTGTAAATTTGCGAGTCTGCGATTGAGCGTCTGGAGCTATCTACTGATAGACGACTGTGAAAATAGCATAATATTCACAATTACTGTTTGCTAAAACACGAATTATTCCGACTTACTTCCTTGTATAGGAACTTGATAACGCCATTACTGTGGAGCTGCACTTGGAAGGTAAATACACCATCTGAAACAATGACCATCAGCATTTTCAAATTAGACCACCCAGAACAATTATCTAACAACTAAAACCGTAATCATGGTAAGAGTACTTAAATCTCAAATCGTTATTTGAGTAGGTATTGTACACGATGACAAATATATATTCCATAGGTCAGCCAATACCTATGTCAACATTTTACGCAATCAGAACTTTCGATTTTAAAGTACATTCTTACCATCTCTTTGAGATTCGAGCGACATGTCTGACCACTGATTTATATAAATTGTACCTGCAGAGATTGTACGGTGAAAAGAGGTAATATATCTGGATACCAAGAGAAATAGACTACTTATCCCAAATATGGGCAGTAAAATATTATTACACTTACTTACACTTACAAAATGTTTCTCATTTATTTGCTTTTATTAGTTTATTATATAGATTGATAGGGTCGTGACTTTACATAGCAGTAATATTCAGTCTTATGTTTTAACTATCATGCTGTGGTGCAGTTTTATTTTGTTTCTGATGCCCTAATTCCTTCGTTCAGTAATTGCCGTTATATTCATTCTGTGCAGCCTAGCACGAGGCCTGAGCCCAGGCTGTGATAAGAGAAATACTGCGTTGGACGATTCAGCTGAACTTTAAACCGTTATTACAAGTTAAACCATCATTAAATTATACTTCGTTTTAAACCATTTTATGTGTTTAAAGTTCTCCCCGCTGCTACACCTCTTTGACATCAGTATATGATTTTATTAACCATATTATCCAATAATTATTGTAACTTGTAAGTCGGCAGTATGTTTTGGAGAGGGAGAGAGATTGAGAGAGGAAGAGAGGGAGAGAGAGAGAGAGAGAGAGAGAGAGAGAGAGAGAGAGAGAGAGAGAGAGAAAGAGAGAGAGAGAGAGAGAGAAAGAGAGAGAGAGAGAGAGGGAGAGAGAGAGAGAGAGAGAAAGAGAGAGAGAGAGAGAGAGAGAGAGAGAGAGAGAGAGAGAGAGAGAGAGAGAGAGAGAGAGAGAGAGAGAGAGAGGGAGAGAGAGAGAGAGAGAGAGAGAGAGAGAGAGAGAGAGAGAGAGAGAGAGAGAGAGAGAGAGAGAGAGAGAGAGAGAGAGAGGGAGAGAGAGAGAGGGAGAGAGAGGGAGAGAGAGGGGACAGGGAGAGACATGAATGCAAAGAAATTGAGAGAGGGAGAGAGAGAGAGAGAGAGAGAGAGAGAGAGAGAGAGAGAGAGAGAGAGAGAGAGAGAGAGAGAGAGAGAGAGAGAGAGAGAGAGAGAGGGAGAGAGGGAGAGAGAGAGAGAGGGAGAGGGGAAAGAAAGAGGTACAGGGAGATAGATAGGGGATAGAGAGAGGGGGGCTCATGTTTTTGAGAGAGAGAGGGAGAGGGAGAGAGAGAGGGAGAGGGAGAGAGATTGAGAGAGGAAGAGAGGGAGAGAGAGAGAGAGAGAGAGAGAGAGAGAGAGAGAGAGAGAGAGAGAGAGAGAGAGAGAGAGAGAGAGAGAGAGAGAGAGAGAGAGAGAGAGAGAGAGAGAGAGAGAGAGGGAGGTCAGTGTGATGTGCGGAAAATCAACAAACACTGACTCCAAACCCAAACCACCCTGTAACAGAGGCAACATGTTTAGCTTGTTTAACAAGTTTATGGTATCCAATAGCCATGCTATTTCGACGAGTAATTATGAGCTATTAGAGTATGCAGTAGAGTCAATAATATGTCATATTAGAGGAATTATTGCTAGAAGATTAACAAGGGGAGACCCATAAGCACGGGAGTACAGTAATCTGTTGATATAAGACAGGAGAATCTCGATATAACGACAACTTGCCCTGTGAAGATGTTTAGGGTAGACTGTCGGGCCCCAGATTGAGTCTACAAAACTGAAACCTATCCGATACTCCAGACCACGACCTGGCTAACTTCGTCTAATTTGCCCGGAACTGTACGTACAAGTAAACCGGAGACTCCCTGATCTGGGGACCAGGTCAATGTGTCCCTGATTATGATATGATCGTGTGTGTGTGTGTGTGTGTGTGTGTGTGTGTGTGTGTGTGTGTGTGTGTGTGTGTGTGTGTGTGTGTGTGTGTGTGTGTGTGTGTGTGTGTGTGTGTGTGTGTGTGTGTGTGTGTGTGTGTGTGTGTGTGTGTGTATGTGTATGTGTGTGTATGTTGCGTGTGTGTGCGTGTTACCTATGTGTTTTTCCTTGTTTGTGTGTTTTATTTGTGTGTGTTTGTGTGTTGCTTGTGTGTTGCTTGTGTGTTGCTTGTGTGTTGCTTGTGTGTATGTGCTGTGTGGGAGTGTGTGCTACCAGTCACCAAGTGCTCCAGTGATCTGAGTGGTAACCACGTGACTCCAGATGAAGCTCATTAGCTCAGCTCTAACAATGGCAGTTGGCAAAGTGCAACAACACAGGTCTGGGGTCTGACACGGTGACGAGCACCCTCTTATACACGGGAGGAACATTCCAGTCTGCTCACTGGAAAGAACACGAGTCAAAGCGAGGACTCCCCCTCCGAGCAGTACAAAGTAGCAGTTGTTACACACCGCGCCACCGGTAACATCAAATATAACCTCTGTGTTGCGTGTGTGTGGACCTTGACGCAGAGTACATTCTCCCTCTTCCTCTCTCTCTCTCTCTCTCTCTCTCTCTCTCTCTCTCTCTCTCTCTCTCTCTCTCTCTCTCTCTCTCTCTCTCTCTCTCTCTCTCTCTCTCTCTCTCTCTCTCTCTCTCTCTCTCTCTCTCTCTCTCTCTCTCTCTCTCTCTCTCTCTCTCTCTCTCTCTCTCTCTCTAGAGAACTGGTGGTCATCTCAGCAGGGCCGAAGTCGCCTGTCAGAGTCAGATAAACAGCGTGACAAGTGGTAACAGTCAGCTAGATTCAGGGACCAGTTAATAGCTGTATGTTTAAATGGGTACGATGACAAAGACACACTATTTATCGAATATAAGTTTAACGCTTCGATCTTTCAGTAATTTTGGAAGTCTCTGCAGATATAGGATCATTAAATTCGGAGATTTGGAGGCTTTTTTTCTAGAAAAGGATGGGTGATGACATAATCAGGAGTAGGTATTGATCTGCGCTTTCAGTGTAATCTGACGGCAGATCAAAGGTAGGATAATCTTAGAAGGTTGTATTGAGAGAGAGATTGGTACTACAAAACACGGCACAAACCTCTGTGCCGGCTTGGATTGTGACACTTGGTGGTTCAGACCATGTTCTGTGTTGCTGCTGTCAGCTGGTTCAACTCTAGACTTCAGAGCTCTTAAACACGAGTTAAATTGTTCTCCAGGCTCCTTTAGTATTACTCATTGACGCATATGAATACTCAATCTCTTTGTATCTAGCACGACTCGCGTTAGTTTTCCTAACGTACCGATGAGTTTCATACTGGTGTGAATAGAGGCTAAGCCGGTCTGAGATCGACGGAGCCTTCCCTCAGGAAAACAAAACAGTTAAGGATTAGTAGGTCCTGTTGATTAAAGTAAATATTAGATCTCATTGTTGTTGTGCGACCATTATTAACCAGAGAGATGTTAAATAGCATTCTCATTCCTCTCGAGTTGTGGCAAGTGGTATCAGGTACATTTGAGAGGAGATCTTATTAAAACACGTAAAAACGTGAAGTTTAAAGATGTTTTGGTTTCGTCCAGACTTGCGTGACGCTGATTAAAAGGCAGACTATTTTCTTCTTGCTGTAACTCGTATGGCAATAAGCTGAAAGTGAAACAACTCTGCACTAATGACAAGAATATTGATAATTACCTACCAGTTTCACCATTACTTTCCAGACCGATACAAACGGCAAATAAACGTTTTCAAGAGTCGACGTGCCGTTCAAAATGACATAAAATCCATCCCCAAAAACAAAGTGACAATATCGGCATTTGCCTAATGAAAGGGGGATATTGCCGCCTATTACAGAGTGTGGCGCTGGATGCCAACTACCGCCCAGTTGACAGATAAACATCCGACTATCATGACTACTGGGAAGTCATAAACTATGACATGTCATCCGTGTGTGCTCATCCTGTCCGTTACTTGGCATTTCCAGCCAGGGTGTGAACTAACTGTGTACTGCGCAACTTTGACAAATAGTGGGTCTACTGTTGTCAAGATAAGCCGGTAAGTTATGGGAAGTGCATGTCACGATGGGCAGGAAAAGGTAGGTTAAATGAGTGAGAGCTAGGAAGGAGTAGGCCTGAGGTAAGTTATTTGGTAAGTATTGCTAGTGATTATGGCGACCAAGGTAAGTAAGTGGCCGAGGTGCCGGTTTCCTTTCTATATTTGAGGTGTGACGGTCACGGTCCTTTCGGCACAGTTGTCACTGGAGAAGGATCGGGAATAAAACCTCAGGCATGTTAATTGTTATACCTGGACGCGTTCTGATTGGGAAGTTCAGATCTGATAGACTATCATCATTAGTTTGGGGATTAGACACTGGACAGATACTACAAAACATTTGCTTACCATTACATTACTAAGCCACCAATGAAGGTCGCTACTATGGAGAAGGATTAGGGATAGAAGTTAGGGATAAAAGTTAGTAAGCTTATAGGGATTAAGGGATGAGAAAGATTAGGGGATAAGGAGGATTAGGGGATAAGGATTAAGGGTTAGTGTTTAGTATAGGGGAGGAGGTGGATAAGACTAGACACACCTAATCTAGACAAAGAGAAGATAAAATAACGATAAACATGCCGTGAATGTATGTGTAATACCAGATATTATACTCTAACCTTGACTATAGTAATACGTTTCATTCCTTCTTTCGACACCTTACATCCCACAATAACTAATTCTCCAAATAGCTTTACCCTCCGAAATTCTCATGTCTCAACAAGTCATTGAGCACTTTAAGACACTGTTTACAGGCTGATCACCCGTCACCGCGGGTGTTACTTACACTTGACAAACATATTATTGACTCGATAAAGTAATCAACTTATCTCCGAATAGAGTCTGCAAACAAATCGGGCAAATTTCCTTAAATAACTCCCGGCTGTAAACTTCATGCACTATATAATATATTAGCTACAGTATGTTGGTGCCATTTGTGAGATGACACAATTTGTATGGTATTATCTCGGTACATCACTTCCATTACGATTTACTGATTTAGCGTTTAAATTTCAAAACAGCTTGGCTATCTAGTTGAAGTTTTTGAAATAAGTTCAATGAACGCTGCAACTAACATACAGATTAACTGCTATAATAACAATTAATTATCAACTACACTTGCAGTCTACTAACTTACTAATGGACTGAAGGGGCATTTACATTCCAAATAGCAAACTAAATTTAAACAATTTTAGATGATCTAGAGTTCACACTCTAGAGCTCACACTCACCATTGGAGAAATGTCTGACATCCTGTGGTTTTCTGGGAGGTGCTGTAGGACTGAACCCAGCCATGAGCGGGGCTATGAACTTCGTTTCGTACAAGGCTTGTCCATAGTTGTTTCCCATATATAAGAAACCTGAAACATAAAAATTTGGTAATTTTGAAGTTTCTGTGTTGATTTATATTAGTAGCTCTTTGAGTCTTTGTATTATATGAATTTCCATTAATTGATAAATTAATGAATTCAAGCAATACATCGGCTCCAAAATGGTTTTGATTCTACTAAGAGCCCGTTCAAAGATCTGAGTTTAACTTTTAAATTTGTTTGCGAGGTACGGAATGTTCTATGGGGTTCTATGGGGTTCTATGAGACAATATTATTTTGGTTATTGTAACATGTTGTTAATCCAACTATCAATAGTCGACCCGACTATTAGTGTGATATTTAGGGTCTCCTATTAATCGCCGATGATTTTGACACATGTCATATTGCAGTTTGGTTGACTGAGAAGAGATGTTAGTACATGTTTCATGAAGTTTAAATCCAGCAAATGTGTCAGAATAAACACTTGGAGAGGGAGAGGGAGAGGGAGAGGAGAGGGAGAGGGAGAGGGAGAGGGAGAGGGAGAGGGAGAGGGAGAGGGAGAGGGAGAGGGAGAGGGAGAGGGAGAGGGAGAGGGAGAGGGAGAGGGAGAGGGAGAGGGAGAGGGAGAGGGAGAGGGAGAGGGAGAGGGAGAGGGAGAGGGAGAGGGAGAGGGAGAGGGAGAGGGAGAGGGAGAGGGAGAGGGAGAGGGAGAGGGAGAGGGAGAGGGAGAGGGAGAGGGAGAGGGAGAGGGAGAGGGAGAGGGAGAGGGAGAGGGAGAGGGAGAGGGAGAGGGAGAGGGAGAGGGAGAGGGAGAGGGAGAGGGAGAGGGAGAGGGAGAGGGAGAGGGAGAGGGAGAGGGAGAGGGAGAGGGAGAGGGAGAGGGAGAGGGAGAGGGAGAGGGAGAGGGAGAGGGAGAGGGAGAGGGAGAGGGAGAGGGAGAGGGAGAGGGAGAGGGAGAGGGAGAGGGAGAGGGAGAGGGAGAGGGAGAGGGAGAGGGAGAGGGAGAGGGAGAGGGAGAGGGAGAGGTAGAGGGAGAGGGAGAGGGAGAGGGAGAGGGAGAGGTAGAGGGAGAGGGAGAGGGAGAGGGAGAGCAAGGCTTCTGAAGCGGATATATAATTTCGACCACTAGACAGGCTTCAGTCGGAACATGTGTTGAACAGCGATTATTGGCGCTTTGATACAGTTTCTATTGTTACAATTTCGACCTTTTAAAACTATTTGGCGTTCATCAAACTGGACTTCACGGTCTTGCCCCACCAGGTAATCATCACTAAGGATATACAAATCTAGACTTGAGAGATAGGCATGCAACTTCCGCTATCAGAAAACGAGGTTTTGCTTGCACAAAATTGAAAGCCTCATTACACAGGCACTCTTTAGTCCACATATTATAACAAGGCAGTTATGTTTCATACAATCAGCTTATTGACAGATAACTTTTAGACTGCATATCAGTCACTAAGACTGACACATCTAATAATGGCGGTATTGCTCGAGACTCAGTTAAATCATTTACACCAGGTACATTCACCGTCATTCGATTACATCAGAAAAATTATTGTTTTTCTATCCGATTCTTATCCTTGATTCAGACTATATAGTATTACTATCGTGATTTAATCAACTATAAACGAAGAGGTCCATATTTTGACAAATTTTATTGTCCAAGTCTACTTTATAGTGTCGTATCTTTGATATGCAGTAAATTTAGACAGATGACTAAGGTGGAGGAATGCTTTTAATGAGTCCTAACAATTATCGGTCTCAATAAAATAATCTGTAAAAGCCCAATAATTCAGTTTTCGTGTAGATTACATGAAAAATAATATAAAAAGTAGAGCCTGCATTTACCTTGTCCCGTGGCAAGAAAAGATCCCAACAGTTCCCCGTAGTACGGGAATTCGAAGTCTAGCCTCCTCTCCTGAAATTAGTACATGAATATCGGAAACATTCGCAAAACGATTAGGTATCTTGTAAATACACGTCTTGTCAACGGATTCTTAAAATCAGGTCAAAATTAAATATTGAAATCGTGGGATCTTGATTCATACAGGTTCGATATCAACGAAATATGCAGATTGAGGACTAATCAGATATTTTGTAAGATCAACAACTCACCGCATAAGAATGCACCATGGTGCTGAGGGGATCACTTCGAATAGAATTCGGTAAGTATCTGAGATCTATCCAGCCATCTGCGTCATCTTTTAGTAGGCTTTTATACCAATTATCTTTAGAACTATCTGATATACAATCTGAAACCAATGGTTGTTATTTGGATACAATTACATTATATATATAATACTGTTTATCTCACAGTCACATGCCTGGCCGTCAAAATACGTGGTTGAGACTGTGTTTTCATCTTTTTCACTATCAAACTATAGCTATCAATACAAATGGCTGAATGACACATTCGCACGATTATTAGTCACTTAATTATTACATTATCTTTCTAAACAAAGGGACCCATTTTCATGTAAGTTCTCCTCGACATATTATAAGCAACAAAGTTACATACTATGGATGTGTGCCAATTGGTATAATATGTGGTAGAAATTGAAAAGTCAGTTTCGACCGCAATTTGACGACCCCTTAGCAACAGAAGAGTAATCTTTTATTATCATATTTTGCAAATGAACGGCTAGATTTAATAAATCAAAATTCAATAACTCACAATAAGATCAAAGTTACTCACATGAAATATTTACAAGTATTAACAAAATCAAGTGCATTATCTTCCATCACATTTTAGCTTGTCATACATATAATCTAGTGATTAGATTTATGTTAATACGGAAGGTGATAATTGTTTCAAAACTGTTTTTCTTTTTTCAAAAGATATATTTGTGACACTCGAGACATGCTCCTTCATCACTAAATGAGAAGCACATTAATTGTACCATCTTCAAAAATATTAAAAAGGAGCAGCTAAGATATAAGTGACAATAAAATTCTTCTACTCGACACAGGGTAAAGGAAACCAATGGAAATGAAATAAGAGAGGATAAACTTTTAAACTGTCAATTTATTATTTAGACTATCTCTGGATAGCAAAGGCAACCGCGATAGAGCCAGAGGCACCATTTCATTGTGCAAGAAGAACAATTTGCCATATGTTTAACAATTTTAGGATGCCAGAACATTGCAATTCTCATTCTCAGGTCTTTTTTAATTGTGCTACGAGTTTGATTTATCGAGAACAAGAATAACACTGAGCCACTTGTTTTGACTCTCAGATCTACAGGAACAACCCTAAAGGAGCAGGTAAGTAACCAAATAGTTCCAAAGATCTGATCTCGAGACCAGCTATTTCAGCAGAGGCCACATAAAAGCGTGCTGGATGCGGAATCACACTATTGACCTAATACGGCACTTTTACACACCATCGGCTGCAGCCGTTATTCGTTCTATCAGATTTGTGTACAATGAGATAAGATCCATTTTTTCTATGGCATAACATCAAAAACATCGGAAAGTAGAATTACACATACGAAATTCATTATTATAATTATTATCAGATAGCAAGTTGATAATGCAATGACTTTTAATACTAATGATTTTTATTAAAAAACAAAATCATCAGGGTGAATCATGGCAAATTTATAACTGGGATAACTTGTCATGCTGCATCACAATCCCTCAACAGATTGAAATTGAGTCACTTTAGTCATTTAGTCTTTAGTCACACATAATGTGTTGATATGTTGTAAAATTATTCTCATCGTCAGCTCAACTAGCCCCAGTCATCCTGTCCATCGTATTCTAAAACCTTCCATGAGGGTAATTTATACATCTTGAATCGTAGTGAAAGATAATAAAAAAGTTTGATATTGTTTAGGCAGGTGCGGAATTGCACTATTTGAAAAAAAATAGCACACCTACATGTTGCCTCTGGGAATTTTGGCCCAAGATCGAAAATCCGACCTATTACATCAGATTTGAAACTTGCTATTATACCCACAGATCTGAATATATTTGACCCATAGCTATTGTGTAAAAAATACACAAGTGTAACCATTCCAAGCAACTCCCCCTAGGCTGATTTTTGTAATATTATGTGAATTATCTTTCACTGAAGTACCCCAGATCAAATCCCCTGGGCCCTGGCCTACTACCTAGTCAAAGATTTGACCTAGAGGTTTTGGCATGTTACCTGCGTATGATAATATATATATCTACATATGAGTTCCATTGGTCAGATCTTGAACACTACAAATCTACCATGTGATCTGAGGTTCTATTATGACATTTCTACTGTAAAATAATGTTTTATTAGTACCCCAGATCAGATCTCAAGGCAGCTGTAATAAAAATACGGCCAGTCTGTAATCACTTGAACATATAATAATTTCATAATATAAAATCTGCCATAGAATTGCAAAATTGGATGTGAGATCATTATGCAGTGGGTCCCAAGCGGTATCATAAGAAATGAGCTTGCCCAATCTCCAATGAAATAGCCAAATAATTTATATTTTAATTTATAAAGCGGGGTGCTGATCCAGTGACAATTTGGTCCAGATTCCGCATAAGTAGGTCCCATGCTTGTTATATGGAAGTATTAAAGGATGAGGGGACCTTAGAATTTACTTCCAAATATTCGCGTTTAAGTCCTGTGAAAGTGTGTAGAATCAAAAAATACGCCGGACTGTGAAATCGATAATTCGTGCAATATCACGCCGCGCTCCTATTGGCTGATAGCAATTTTGGGCTGTGACGTCACTTATGTTTTAAGACCAACGTGCGCGCGCACCCTTTGCTCGTGTCAACATTTTGTTCTGTTCTGTTTTAATTACGTCGTGTTACCTTTTATTTGGCGTTTGCGAGAGCGGTATCTTTGGTTGCACTGAATTAGTCTAAGTTACGAATAATTCTCTTTAATAATAATAGTTAAATGTAACTCAGAAAGGCTTTCTTGTAGTTGTAGTAGGTATTTCTATTTATAAATAGCTAAGATAAGTAGCAACCGCTAACTAAACCACAAACTGCTATTTTGTTTTGACTTGTTTGAAACCCGATATGGACACAATTAAAAAGAATGTATGATGTAGTAGAAGACATTTTACTAGCTGGCCCTTGGCGCCTCTAGTCCTATCTGAGTACGCACGTGCGGTTTGACACTGCGCGTGTACCGGCCTTTAGTTGTACACTCATTTATAATTTACCGTTTTAGTTTGCTGTGACTTGAGTGTAAAGCGTAACGAATGTGGATGTGTTCGTCTGCTATGCTTGGTATAATATTGCTTGGTGTAATAGTTGCAAATCTTGCTTACGTTATAAGTAGTGTCACATAGTGAGTTAGAACTTAAAAGCTTGGTGCTTGGTGCTTGTCCAACTGGAATGAAGACATGCATTTCATGCCTACCCGATCCATTTTTATTAGGACCGTGTTGTGTTGATATGACATGTTGATATATCAACTGTGGTACGAAACAGGGAGTTGCTAGGTGTTACGTTGGGAGCTATAAATATACATAATTTACATGCCTTTCTGTGTGACTTCAATCTTATTCCAGGTGTATCTCGGCTCATGGTTATCGTAGGGTGATAATTCTTTTTTCAACCGGTCATAAAAAGTCTCCTCTCCATTGGTTATAGGCTCGTTAGTATCGTAAATTGTTAATTTATTCTTAATTAGTAATTTAGTCGGCCCGCACGCTCATTTTACCTGTATTTCTATATGCGCGGATCAGAGCAACTCACATAATTGACGTCACAGGTTCAAATTGTTTTGGCTGGATATCTCGGCGCGCGAATGAAATACAACTTTGCGGATTTCACTAAAGTGGTTTATACGATTAATGTAATAAAAGGATTTGCACGAGAAAAAAACTTTTTCTAAGGTCCCCTCATCCTTTAAGATTTCGATGTCATCACGTTTTGGTTAAATTTGTACCAAAGATAACTTTGCTCATCATGAACCATGCCTAATTTGAGTTTTTCATTTATCATATATCAGTTTTAAACATAAGTGTTTTTAACTATATCTTGACAAGATGTAAAACTTTTAAAGGTTAAATCATGCAAAAGTAGAACTGGTAACTAAGGATACTAAATTAGAAATGGATAGTCTAAATAATGGGTAGAAACCAGGTTGTGGCAAAACAAATTCTAATATTGTTCAAACTGAAGTGCCAGGAGACAACTGAATTTTGGTTTGAAAGCCCAGACTACTATAACTGCTTGGTAAGCTAGAGTTGTCTCTTCCAACCGGATAATATCCAGATATCAGAGTTTAACGAGACCAATTAAGTTTCGGAATCAATACAATTGACATTTTCTTTGATTATATTTCTCCTATTCTGTTTAAATTTTTGTAGATGTTTGTATCATTATTATTTGATTTGATTTGATTTGCTAAAGCATGCCAATAGCTAATCTTTCCAAGTCTACCCAACTACAAGCTAAGTAAAGATCGGATTGTACTCTAATATTCATACTAATTCGAATTGTGCTTATTTACAAAACTTGAGTTGAAGAACTTGATTTGTTGTAGAAAATATTCTCAATGAAACTAATAAATCAATGAAACTAATAAATCAATGTTTTAGCTCATTTTACAAAGTCAAATATTTAAAACAATTAAAATTGTATAGTGCTCAATTTGTAAATGACTAGTTGATCTTTGCTATTGGAAGTTTGTCAAGGACTGGCAGCTAGCGGGGCAAGGAATGCACAGGCTTAGGGGCTTTTGTGCACACCAGAACACTAGCTCGGTAGATTTTTGGAAACTAGAAGGACTGAAAACTAAAATTGTTTTTGATGGAGGCTGAGGCATGTTTTTGAGAGGGACGGTATAATAGCTTGTGGTAACAACTGGCCTTTACTTTAATAGGATGAAGTTTTAGTTTTAGGACAGGAAGAAGGCATTAAGAAGATTTGCTCTTTGTTTACAAGGCAGAATATAAGCAATGTTGGTTATAATATGTATCAATATCTAGATCTTCGTTTATCAATTTTCACTAAATGGGTTTAAAATTTTAATAGGGAGGGAAATTCATCAACTTTATTAAGTACCTATCAAAAATAAATCTTATATCAATGTAATATATTAAAAATCATAATCCTAAGTCTAATAATAAAACTGTTAAAAACACTTTCTCACTACACTGCGCTCACACACGTTAGTAAGACAAAGGAAAATGCACACCCAGCTAATTTTCAATTTCAAGATAATCATTTTGGATGTGTGGACCCTAGGGTAGACTTAATGTCAAAATTTAGATTAGAGCATTCGAAATCTTTGTTTGTCCAATCAAGATCAGCATGGTTATGCTGGTTGACGAGCAGTGATTGCTTCATCCTAGACTTCAGGCAGGCCACACTTAGACAGTAGTCACGTATACCAAGCTTAGGCACAATTACGTTCCAATTACGAGTCGTTCTGCTATTGAAGTTGTCAGGGTCTGTCTCTGCGGCAGACAAGATAAAAAATCCGTAAAATCAAGAATAGACTTATGTCATAATAATGAACTATTGAGTGACACAATTGAAGAATCACTAGAGACCACTGACAATAACTGACACAACCTATCATCATCATCTCCCAGTTTTGCAGAAAAACCATTATCACTCAGGATGGAAATTGGTGGCTGCAGGATCAAAAATATTAGATTTAGAGACGTTGATTAGCGTTATTACTATAAACTAGTTCAACAAAAATTTAGTGCACAAGCTCACAAATTAAAGTACGCCAAACTTCTACTCACATTGTGAGCACTTTTAAAAAAGGAAGATGATGAATTTTTGTGTTTCAATAATCCATCTACAGAACCTATCAAGTACACCAACTATTATATCAGTAGTATAGTGCTATTAAAGAATAAGTTGTTTCCGGCTGTTCAAGATATATGCACTGGGAGAATAAGTAAAACAAAGTTTTATTTACAACAAACCTGACATGTGTCAGTTATATCATAAATGCCGTCATGGACCATTAAAGACCGTTTTGAACAGCAAAAATAAATCGCAATACAAAAAACATTTCATCATTGATCATGAATTGTGAATAGTAAATATGTTCACTCTTGCAACGAAATATCTAGGGTTTGATAACAAATGATTAATTGGTATTGAAGTGTTGTACATGTAAATCATCGATGGAAATTTGTATTACAAAGCCAATAATGAAAACTAAACACTGCACTGAAAAGTAAACTCCAGGTATAATGACAAATAATTGAACATAAAATATTTAAAGCATCAAATAAAAGAAATAATAAATTTAGCAATAATATTTTGCATTATTAAGAAAATAACAATTTCAAGAAATTGAATAGACCAAAGGCTATAATAAAAAATACCATATTACTTTAACTATAAAATGTGAATTTAAAATATTTATTAATTTTAGTTTCTAATAATAAATGAATTGGCTAATACAAAGCTTAGCTGTTCTATTTTACAAAATTCATTTTCAAATCGATAATTATTTTAAAAACACCTTAACTATTCAAATTAATTCAAAATTAAATACAGAATTGACTGCAGACACGCGTTTTATTAAGCGCGCGGATCGAGCGCGCGCCGGCAACATCATAAAAAGGATACAAAATTATATGTAAAAATAAATAATTTACCATTTTTAATGATTTGGCCCGGCGCGCGCTACTTCGTAGCACTTGCCGTCGAGAAGAAAGTGGCGCGCGCTACTTCGAAGAAATTTAGACGAGTAACATCCGTCAAATAAGTAATCGACGCGATATTAAATTTTATATAATAGAAACTTTAATTTGGCGTTTGGATTCAGGATTGGCTCACCTGGCCTTTTGCTTGGGATCACCCCAGGCTATTATGTTCATGAACATAGCCTGGCGTAATTGAATCCTCTAAAACGCGCAAGTAGGTGCGTTTTTGTAGCGCGATGCGTTACTGTGCCGCGCCGCGCACTCAATGAGGCTTCTCACAGCGAAATGCGCTACTGTGCCGCGCCGAGCTGAGATGAATTGACATCGTCAATTAAGTGATCTGTTGCGCGCCTGTAATCAGTTCTGAACGATCACGTGAATGCTAATCACGTGCGCTTTAACTATAACATCTATGAGCATTCGCATTTATTTACAGAGCGATGGAGGTCGAATAAACATTTGGCGGAATGACACGCGCTCACTAAATCGCTCGCCCAAACTTTTTTCATTCAACTGCTAACGCGTATTTTCGCATTGGATAAATTGCAAAATTGTTTTGACTATCAGGAGTGCTCGTTCTTCCTTATATATAATATATGTACGTCTTTACACTTTGCTTCTCGGAGGAAGAAAGCAGCAGTCTCTCTTATGGCATTGTGGCGCATGGAAACATATCAACCTAGTTTGCAGTCAAGGGCGTGGTAGATACTGTTTACATTTCCACGGGCACATTTAGAGGGCACTCCTTGGATCTTCCTTACAGCCCAATTGTATTTCAATTTTATTACACCTTATTACACCTTATATTCAGTTATTCTATACTTTATATTTGACTATACACTTTACTCGATTAAATTCTGTGATGCATGATCACAGGTATGTTAATTTCGACTTCGAGTGATTCAAACTTAAAGTTCATCGCCAATGGCCAATTTGTGCTTTCGTTAAAAATTTCAGATTTACTGCCGTGTTTTTGTTGGGTTGACCGTTTTGTGGAAATCTACCGGATCAGGACGACTCAAGCCATTCGTGTCCTACTAAAGCTTCATCAAAAACAAGGTACATATATGTACACCTTCATCATTCAACTCCGGCATCTATCAATCACGATTTTTCACTATCAGTGTTTCATACATCTTAAAGCAGTGTCACTTCGTTATAAGCAGCTTTATATCTGGTTTCGATTTTTAGTTACATTTTTGAGGTTTTATTTGAAGTGTCGTTTTTTTCACCAATTTGCTGGTTTGTAAAATTGTGCCATTCACAGTTTAAGTCTACATCATTACCTTGGCGGCTTACTTAGTAATATCGATTGACAGCAATTTAATCATGGAAATGTTAGATGAAAACTCAAATTATTTGTTGTTACTCTTTATATATTATGGTAGTTCTTGTTCTCAGTCATTTTATGCAATTTATTTAAGCTGACTATCAAAACCTTCCCCAACTTGTTTAAACATAATATCATTTGAAATCATAATTGGAAAATCTATACATATACGTATATGGACACGTTCATTTGAGTTTGAGGATATTGGTAAACAAAAATAATAGCGTTTTTGACGATAGTGGCTTAATTTTGACATCTATTAACCTAGCACGTTCAGAAGTTCTGAACATTAGCCACGTAACCCATACTCCCATATGCACTGCTCAGAAAGAAAATCTATTGTTGTTAGGCACTATAATGTTTCAAATGTCACATTTTGTGTGACTTAGTTAACTGCAGTTGTCTAATTATCATTCCTTGGTCTGAAATATAGTAGATTAGGTCAATCTAACAATTATGATACAACATTGGTTAAAGGGCACGGATCGAACGGTTACAAGGCAATATTTGGGTAACTTTGTCACACTCAGAATACCATACCTCTATTCTAGGTGTCCTCAAAACCCTTTTAACTCATTATTTGATGGTTGATCTACCAATCATAGTCCTAAAATATATTGTTTTGAGTAGTTAGCTAATACAGGCACTTGGTTATTGGGAAATGAGGTTAATTCTGTCACAATATATGGATTTTTAAATTTGTGGCGAATTTTTTATATCTGATTTTGGTTTGAAAGGCGGGAAAACTTTATATGATGACAATGTAGTTGATGCAAGTTAAGATCAGTTGATGTTTACATTCAACATTGTCACAAAAAATGATACGAAATCGTAAATAGGTTAAAAACAATGATTATAGAATGAAATAGTCTCTTATAATAACTCTTATAATAACTGATGTGACAAAGTAAACATGTCTTGCCCCTATTTTGAAGATCTATATAATATTTTATAACTCCTATCTATTAGAATTCAACATTCTTTCAGAAAAAATTGGTAGAATATAGTCCAGAACATCAGAGCTCAAGTTTAACAATTTTAGGTTAAATTTGTCAAAGTCACTAAAAATGTGATAAAATTAACTTTTCCTGCCACAACAATTTCAAGATAGTGTGTTAAAATTGGCATAGGATGCTTTATTGCCTATATTAATCGATCCAAACTACGAAAGAATATAAATGTTAATGTGATGACGATTACCTAACTCTAATAATAACTGATGTGACAAAGTAAAGATGTCTTGCCCCTATTTTGAAGATCTATAACTCTATTAGAATTCAACATTCTTTCAGAAACGATTGGTAGAATATTGTCCAGAACATCAGAGCTCAAGTTTAACAATTTTAGATTAATTTGTCAAAGACACTGAAAATGTGACAAAATTAACTTTCCCTCCCCCAACAGTATCAAGATAGTGTGTTAAAATTGGCATAGGATGCTTTATTGCCTATATTAATCGATCCAAACTACGAAAAAGATCTGTTGACCTGGAAAAATCGTCAAAAAAAGAGGTCCAAGATTTTCAAAATCGAATAAAAAATTTTTAAAGGCCTCGAAATTCTAAAAAGAGTGAAATCTTCTAAATGGTCCTTAGAACATATCCTGAAAGTTTCAAGGTGATTGCTCAAAAAATGTAGGAAAAGATAGATCTTTAGGGCGCGCGATTGAAAATCGCTTGCGCAATACAATTACACATGAGCGCTGACCTTTGACCGGTAATAATTTCGTCTAGGAACAATATTTTTCCATGGGACCAAAAGTAGCAGATAGATATCACTCCCCTCTATTAGAAACAACTATAAAATCAATTTCGAGAGAAATTTCATGAATATCTGATGACGATTACCTAACTCTTATAATAACTGATGTGACAAAGTAACATGTCTTGCCCCTATTTTGAAGAACTATACCTCTATTAGAATACTATGTTACTTTATCATCAAAAAAATTTCGATTAACTAGTTATTTTGCCAGCAAGGAGCTAACAGAGTTATAATAATTTTGTTGTCACGAAACTATTTTTGACCATGTTGCGGTAGTTTAATTGTAACACAGTTAACATATTACCACCCGATAATGATTTATGTGACTGGTGCATGGTACTAGCAGTATTGTTTGATCCATAGTACGTATTATAAGGGCTTTAAGCTAGTATATCATTATTTTTTCAATTTCACACATGTTCAGATATCATCAAGATTATGTGACAAAGTAAACTTGTTTGTGCCTTCTGTGTTTAAATTCCTCACACTATATGATATAATAACAATTCCTAGCACTTCCAGGCCATCAAATAAACCTACATTACTCAGTATTGCTTATCAGGGTGCCCTAAATATTCTTCACATATTTTCTTAAATGTGTGACAGAGTAAACCTGAGTGCACCATCTAACGAAAAATTCGTCAAATATGTAGGTAATGGTCATATGTACCCATCCAATCAACTGGACATTCAAAAATTTGGTCACAAACGGCAGCAAGGGGTCCATATTTACTCCGTCACATGTTTATAGTGTGACAATGTAACCATTTCCGTGCCGGCCGTATTTAAACAATATCTTATCACCTGATTAAGATATCGTTATGTGACAAAGTTAGCGAAGAGGATGAGACGATTATCCTAACCATCAAGGGTTTGTGTAATTTCATAGTGTGACAAAGTCAACTACACTGTTCCTTTTAATAGGGTCACTTATATTTACCAATATCCTCAAACTCAAATGAACGTGTCCATATAGTTTACTAGTTAGCTCTTACTCTTAGCGCTTACTAGTTTAGCTCTATCTGGTCCCCTGCTACACGGCATGTAAACAATGATTGGCCAGTTAGAGGCGGTCCGTGTAGGCCATATACAGTATACACTGTGCTATCAGCTATACCTATAATTATATATAGTTCTTTTATTCAAATTTCTGATTGTTTCTGAATAGACTCAGTGAAGACAAATTCTAATGGAAATAAATAGCTGAATAACGTATCGACATTTCTACGTCATACTCACATTCTCAATAAATGTATTTAATTGTAGTTGTGAAAATAGTTAAAAACTATCAGAAATTTGAATAAAAGAACTATAAAATCATGAGACTCAATAACACTACACAAATCCACCAGATTATATATAATATATAATAATATATAATAAATAGTTGTTGCTTGGTTTCCCAAAGAGAGTGCTCCTTAAAATACTCAAACTCAGATGCCCAACATAACTGAACCAGCAATATGAGTTATCATGTAGAAAGAAAACCAATCTCACTGTTCAATTCCCATTAAAAGATGATTGGGAACTGGGTTTTACTATCCCAGTTAATGTTTACTAAAAATAGATATTGAACACCAGATTATATATAATATATAATATATTTAGATCTTCTAAAATCTGGAGCACGTCATAGCGCCAAAACTCAAGCTTCTTGACTACTCCAATAAAACATTTGATAACTCGCATCTATTACAAATAATACACTACGAACAATGTATACACTTTTATATATTTAAAATCCTCGTCCAAACTTGTTGTCTTCAATATCTGACTTGAAATTAGTGTACTGCTTCTTGACGACAAGAATATGCTGATTACAGTGATCCTCTGCACTATATAAATTTGTGCATACATCCATGTGCATACTTGTTTTAAAAATATGAATTTGATAATATACATCACATAATATCATTAAGGGGTATATCATCAAGGTTTGATAATTTTTCGTTCATACTTCATGTTAACACTCCTATTATGGTTGGAATTGATTAATACAAGAAATAGAGCAGCTTATACCAATTCTCCGCATTAAATTTATATTGTTGGGGCACAAAATGTTTTTTATTCTATCACATTTTCAGTGACTTAGCGAAATTTAAATTAACATTTTTAAGTTAAACTTAAGCTCTGATGTGCTGGACAATAATCTACCAATCATCGCCAAACATTATCTTATCCAGAAAAAAACACAGTCACGCCTTGATCGATCTTATTAATATTTTGACAAGAACCATCAATAGAGCAGTTGTATTCAGATATAAAAATGGCTTTTTGCTGAATTGTATGACTTACTGGAATTGCTAATAATGACTAAAATGCTGAAAACAGTTACTCACTCCAATATCTACTAGTGTAATGTGAACAATATTTGAGCAAAATATGGTGAAATCAATGGAATTAGTCAATTGGAGGTTAAAATGGTTTGCTGATTTTTGGCACTCGGTTTAATTTTATTTTGAATTGGAGTTGACGAAGTGAGAGTCTCCACTCAGTGGAGACTCTCACTTAGTCAATCCTATGTACAAATCAGGTGACCGGGAATCCCGGTACCGGGAATCCCGGTACTGGGATTGGCAATTTTGAGCTATCCCGGTCCCGGTCCCGGTCCCGGTCAACCGGGTCAAGTCACATTTTTCATCCCGGTCCCGGTCCCGGTCAAATGCTGATTTATGATCCCGGTCCCGGTCCCGGTCCCAGTTAGTTCAGGATTCTTGGTCCCGGTCCCGGTCTCGGTCCCGGTCAATCACTCAAATTTGCTGGGATTTTGACCGGGATCTTTTACATAATTTCATTCACTGTGATTTTAAGTTTTTACTTTCATTCATTGTGAATTTCATCTTTAAACAACCTCTGAGCCAAATAAAACAATGTTTAAAATTGCTAAACAAGTTTAGGTAACTAATATCGTTACATAACTCATAAGTGCAGACTAATTGTCAATTGGAATTGGAGAATGAAACTGTTGAATAATTTGAGGGATCATTGATTGAGGAATGAGGAATGAGGGTGAACTTGAGTAATCAGTACATGAACATTATTGGTGTAGTACATTAGGCCCATGCCCCATATTGACGGTTTTTTTTTTGTTTTTTCTAATTTAATATTGTAGTTATTACTTATTCAAATTGTTCAATTATAATGTAAATGAAAGTTGCAGCTTTCAATATGAGAACACCAGTTTTGGTCCCGGTCATCCCGGTCATCCCGGTCACATCCCGGTCATCCCGGTAAAATTGGATTGTTGGTCCCGGTCCCGGTCCCGGTAAGA